GACTTTTTCTTTCTTCTTATAGAAAATAATCAATGAATGACAAAGTTGGATGTATTGTTAGAGAATCATTGAATGATTGAAAGCTCGTCATATGCTAGAGGACCATACACTACAAATTCTTTGGAAAAAGAGAATCAAGGGAAACAGCTGAAGACAGCTCACAAAACCGCAAAATTAGAGAGCACTAGTTAAATGCTAAAAGAACATAATTTATTGAAATAAGAAAGAGAATGAACCATGCCGAGTTTCCAAGCCTGGGTAAAGGAGGAGGGTTGTGTTAGGTAGTCAGCCAGCGAACCTAACACAACCATATATCTCGCTTTCTTGCTTAGAGCAGCCCTCTCTCTATCTCAGAGATCGGAGCTCTCTCTCTCATAGCAAACCTCTGTCTCTCCCTCTAATCCCTCAAAAGTCGCTCTCTTTCTCCATCTTCAACATTGGCATGATCACCTCTGCAATTCCTTGGGACCACATACTGGACCAGCTTGGAATATTTAATCGGGTAGGGTTCTTGATTGCATTGTTAAGTTTATGCTTTTTCCTTTGAATCTTTGTCTTTTAATGCTTTTTCCTTTGTATCTATATCTTTTGAATCTGTATTTTTGTGCCATTTGAGTATGTAATTGATTGTAAATAAGTTTGTGAAATTGCAGATAGCTCTTGCTTGGCATTGGTATTGTAATTCATTGAAATTCGATGGCTGCATATTTCTTACTTCTGAGTGATATGCATTCGAGGCTGATTTGAATTGGATTGATGGTTATATGTGCATGAATTAGAAATAAAAGATGATAGAAAGGCAAAAATGTCTGTGATTCAACTTTGACCCGATAGTGGTTTTGGGGGCAAATCTCTTGATGGGAAAGAGTGACATTAGGCAGACTCTCTCTCTTACATGTTTCCTTGTAAGGCAAAATGGGATTTCTCATTGCCTATTGGGTTTTTATTCTTTTCTTTTAAAGTTTTAAAAATGGGTTTTCTTTGATATCAGAAATTCATTAGATTAGTTTTAGCGGAAAAAAAAAAGAAAAAAAGAAAGTCTTGCAATTGAGAAAATGGGATTTCATAAATGAGCATGATTGACGTTGTAGAAGTTATAAAGGTATGGGTTTTAACGAAACCATGTCTTTAACATGGTTTACTGATAAAGAAAATAGCATTCTTGTTGCCTACTGGAATTTTGGTTTTTCTTCATGAAATTTTTTTTTCTTTGGCATGGTGAGATTATATTTTGTTTCTGATGATGTATCAGAAACTTCTTTTTTTTTTTTTTAATGTATTTTTATTGCATTTTCTTGGGATTCTTAGAGCTTTGTGTGGATTGCATTTTTGCATGTCCAGGTATGCAAAATTCATTATTCTTACTTATTTCTTTATGGTAACCGAATAGTCCTTGGATACTCATTGGTAGCCTAAGATATTCTGCTAAATTAAGGATACAATGGGATATTGAGCAAGCGGGTGGATCTTCATCATAAAACCCTTGGATGCAAGAGATACTTTCTGTAGTTTCATTTTAACATTTATATTTCAGTTCTATCTCGGCGTGTATGGAATTCTTGTGAATTTCTATGTTGAACTTCTATTACCGACTATATCACTATTTAGCTTCCTTCCATCTTGTAATCCATTTATGTTATTATCTAAGTAGAGATGGTTAGATATTCTTATGTTTAACAAGTGGTTAGATATTCTCATTATGAAGTATTGTGAAGGCAACGCAAGGGTTTTAATCTTTTTTTTTAATATGGCATTTTACTATAGAATGATTGGGAATACCACCTTATTTTGATTCACTAGCATCTCCCTTATTACGCATTTCTTACAATTATGGATTGTCATTAATCTAGATCCTGCATGGAAAAGAAAATCTTAGTCTGCTTTTCTAAACATGTAACATACATATTCCTCATGCATTTGGTTGGTCTAAATTTGTTGTCTTTGGTTGTGCCTTGAGTTTGGCAAACTTGAGCCTATTATTCTGATAAGTGATAAAAGAAATGTTACAGAAAGACCACAAAATATGTGTCAAATGGAGTGTCATTTGCATATTGGATATGAATAGTAGAAAAACTGTTTTAATGAATAATTTGATACAATGACATGGTGTTGGAAACTTAAATTTTTTTTTGCTAATTATGCACTGAAAAAATTAAACTTACTGCATAGTACAATGTGAGGCAATATGAAGCATTAGTATACGAAATGGTTATGGGAGCCATTGAACAGATGGAGAACCTATCCTATGCGTATTGGATCTGTCCTTTTTTGTTTTAGCTATGATGAAGTTTGGGTATGATGGGGTTTTGATGAAGAGGAAGCATTATCCTCTTTAGTTTGAAGGACTCATCTTAAGGCCTTTTCAAGTGAGTCTCTCCATATTTTGGTCATGGATGTAACATATATTAAGAAAATTGTGTATAAAGTTATAATAGACTAACTGGCAGTAATTTAAAGTTTGATAAACTCAGGTAGTGCAGCATAAAACAACATTTCGATCTTAACATGAAACTCACACCGCAAGAATTGAGTGGGACAGCTAACACACCCTTGATTTTCCCTGATGATTAAGGATGCCAGAGCATTTTGTAATTGATCATTAAGGCAGCCATAACAAGGATGAGGAGGATAACAGGGCCTGGTTCGGAGGAGTACATTAAGGTAACTTTTAAATTTGGTTGCAAATTCCTAGTTGAAATCATTACCTAGCATGTAGATTCCATGTTTGCCATTTACACCTGTGCATGCAAATGAAACACGTTCAAAGAAACTAGATACAATCCTACCTCCTGTGCACCTCACGGATCAGGTTTTCAGAGATGGCACTTAGATTTTTGGATATTTTGACTTAGGCACAAGCAATTGATTTTCGGACTTCGTTTCCATTTTAAAGTGGATTTTCTATCTGTCTAGAATTGAGCCATGTTATAGATATGATGTTTCTTTTTTCGGGTGATTGGATATGATGAAAATTTCGATATGGGTGGTAATCGTGGTGATCTTTTCGGCTTAAGTGGTTAGTGCTATGTATTTTGTGTGTAGTTCTATGGCTTGAGTTTCAATAATCATCGACATCGTATAGAGAGAAGAGAGAGAGAATATAATGTCCGTGTATCAAAATTGCACCTTAAAAAAAATCTAAACAAGGGATGTCAAGCCGACTTGGTGGGTTGTGGCTAGCATCGTGTTAGATTAGTTGTCTGTATATGCAACTCGACTTATCTCAATGCGTATCATGCAGGGTAAGGGATACTCCTGAATTGACGTTATTTGTAATAATAGTAATTGGAATACTTATATATATATATATATATATATCTATATATATATATATATATATATATATGAGGGTGCGGTTTGTATAGAGTTTAGGCTCTAATCAATCAAATTAGAGCCTACTTTCAAGTAGTGTCGAAAAATGTGGTTTCAACACTGAAAATCTTCGTGATAGTTTTAAAATATATTTTCATATTTATTGATAAAGTTTAAAACTTCAAAACTAGTGTAGATCGAACGATCTATGAAAACTTGAAAATCTTGAAAATTGACATTCCAAAAATGCATTACAAAAGTCCACTATTTCCAAAACTTGAAATCCATTTTTTTCTAATGTCTATGCATCTTGATGTTGAGATGATCAATTTGAGGATATTTGGGCATTAAAACAATTTGTGAAAATTTTGAGGTAGGCTCGAATTTGATTGTTTAGAGCCTCGGTTCTATATAAACTTTTCCCTATATAAAAAAGCTGGAATTAGCCTACTAACTCGTATGAACATATGAACCCAACGGCCCATATTGAATTTGGGCCGACTTGACGATTAAGGATGTCCAGTAGTGCTTGATATTTTTTTTTTTTACAAATTCAAATCACTTGAAATTTTAGATATGTGTTTTTCTCATCAAAGTGTACCTAATAAAAATTTTAAAAAAATTATTCGTGAGAACAAAATGACCAAAATATCCCTCAACTTTTTGGGGGTATTTTGATCAATTATTTCATTTAAAACATTTTTTTTATATATTTTTCGAAGATTCACCTATTTTTGATAAACATATATCTAAAATTTCAAATGATTTGGGACTTGTGAAAAAAAAAAAAAAAAACTTAAACTAAGACACTATCGGACGATTATTGATTGTTCAGAAAGGACCC